AAACTAATAGAAGAATTGGATTACAACTTAACCGAAAGTATGATGAATTAATTGTAAAATGACATTATTGTGGAATTTAATGTGAAATACAAGGCTGCATAGTGTATTTTATCTTCTTCTTTGATTAATGTAAATTATCATGTTTTATAGTGGATTCTATATATCAAGACATTTATTACATAAATACATATAAAATAAAATAGTAAAATACATCATGAGACATAAAGTAATTATTTATTTATTGGGAAAGTATTTAAAACAGAGGCTACAAATAGAAAAAGTTGAGTGAAAAAAGTGGAAGGAATATTCAAGAAATGGGTTCATGTGAATGGAAAATTGGCACTGACGCAGTGGGATCCAACTCCACTCCCACAACAAATTGGCATTCTTGCCGACTCTCTCACAAGCAAAGTACAATAAAATAAAATAGTAAAATACATCATGAGACATAAAGTAATTATTTATTTATTGGGAAAGTATTTAAAACAGAGGCTACAAATAGAAAAAGTTGAGTGAAAAAAGTGGAAGGGATATTCAAGAAATGGGTTCATGTGAATGGAAAATTGGCACTTACGCAGTGGGATCCAACTCCACTCCCACAACAAATTGGCATTCTTGCTGACTCTCTCACAAGCCAAAGTACAACTACCCCCCACTACCCAATTTTTTTTTTTTTTTTTTTTTTGTTGGGAGAAGTTAGGAATTTGTATCCCACTACAAAAATATTTACATCTCTATATATTTATAAATTTTTTTCTCAACTCTTATCTATATGTAGTTCTTTTAATTTTTCTCACTAAAAGAAAATTAAAAAATAAGTAATGATATAAAAATATATATACATAGAATAAGTTGATATTTTATGATTATTATTATTTTTATAATTTCACGAATCTTATTGACATATTATTTCAAAAGTGTTTTTACATGAATTTTATTTATAAATTACTTTTATAAAAAAAAATTAAAAAAGAAGAAATTCATTTCCCAAAAAACCGGATGAAAATGAGCCGTTACAGTCTCCCTCGGGAAACCTGGGGAACAGTTTTTGTCATCTGCACTTTTTTCTTCTTCATATCTGGCGGGTGTTTGTGATTAAAATAAATTATAAATTTTAGTTTAATAGATTATAAATTATAATTTTAATAAAAGATTATTAATTTATTTGGTGTAGTTAAAAAATAATAAATCTAAATTGTTAAGAAGCGTTTGATAAATAAATTGTGAAATGACTTTTTATGTAGCGTTTGGTAACGTTTACGTTTTTAGTTTATATTTATAAAATTTTTATAAACTGATTTTTGTTTATTTTTAGAAAAACATAAATTATAAACGCGTTTTATTTGAATAAAATATTTAAAAAACATAAACTAAAAAATATGTTTGTTTCGACCTACAATATTTATATTTATTTTAATTATTTATAACAATGGGATCACACACATTATAATTGAAAAAAAAAATTTAATTGAAAAAAAATTAATTGAAAAAAATAAGTAATTGAAAAAAAAATAATTGAAAAAATAATTGAAAACTGAAAACATAAACTCAATTTTTTAGTTTACGTTTTTTCTTCAAATTTATAAACTGAGATAACCATTTATAAATTAAAAAAATTATCAAACAAGTTTTTATGACAGTTTTTAAAATTTTTGTAAATATAAACTAAAAACTGAAAACTGAAAGCGGGATGGTTACCAAACAGGCCTTAGTGTCAATGTTATTTTTACCATTGTTAATTGTAAATTATATTAACCTTTGTTAATTATAAATTGAATTCACTTTGTTTGGTTCTAATTTTTAGAAAATTTCACTTTTTTATTTTCTGTATTTTAATGTTTTTAATGAATTTTTTTAATATTTTAAACAATTTTTTTTAATTTTTAAACGCACCTAACATAAATATACTTAAAAAGTATAATATTTCTTAAAACAATCTTTAAAAAATATACTAAATACCAAAAAATACAAAAAAAAATGAAAATTCAGTACATTTTTTTTTTATTTTCATGTATTTATTAATTTTTTAAAATATTTTTTTACAAATATTTTACTATTTAGATACATCTAAGTAAGGTGCATTTAAAAAAATAAAAATATATATATTTAAAATTTAAAAAATATTCACTAAAAATAAAAAAATACAAAAAACAAAAAACTCAATTCTCAAAAAACTGAATTCAAAAAACTGAAACCAAACACATTGATTAACTTTTATTTTTTTTGTTATTCACTACTAGTGCATATTTCCCATAAAAAATTTAATCCATTGTCCATTTGAGCCTTTCTATTTTCAAAAACAAGAAAAAAAATAGTAAATAAGGATATAATCATAAATTAATATGCTCACAACAGAAAGTAAATAGGGATATAATCATAAATTAATATGCTCACAACAAAAGCTAATAATCAAAAACAGAAGATGAGCAACTTCTCATAATCAATTTTTTTGAGTTAAAATAAATTGTTAGAATTAGAAACTATTTGAAATAAGTTTAACTAAACAATTCAAAACAATTTTTCCAAAACTGGAATTTATAAATTGGCCAAAATAATCCATACCAAACACCCTCATTACACTTTAAAAATAAAAAGAACCGAATTAAACTAGATTTATTACTTTTATGATAATATATTAAGAGGTTTTTTTTTTTTTTTTAGGACAAAATTTACTTTGCCTCCTTGTAATTTGGTTTCGGAGTACTATACCTTCCTATAGTTCAAATATAGGCATAAAATCCCCTAATTATGTTAAAAGTAAGGGCAAAACTAATTATGTTAAAAGTAAGGGCAAAATTACCTAAATATCCCTATATTATATTCTCCTTCTCTCTTCTCTAATACATATAATTTTCTATCTTAATCACGTGTTTAACAAATTAAATCATGAATTAGACTAAGTACCCTAATTTATTACCATAAAATTACCTTAAACTATTTTTTATTTTTTATTTCTAAACCAATTTTTTATTTAATAAATTTTTTAATTAAACATAAAATTATTATAAATTAACCTAAACACCTTAATTTATTAACCATAAAATTAAATCACTAAATTACCTTAATCTGAGTTTTAATTTTTTCTTTTAAAGAAAATTATTTATAAGTCATATTTGGAAGACTTATTTAATGTGAAGTCCTATAAATATTCTTTTAGAGTTTAAAGTAATATTTATATAAGAATGTGTTCCATAAGGTCCCATGAGTTGTAAATGAATGATATTAGTGTACGATTAGATCCTTAATTTGTTTTCATACTGTACTTTATTTTCTCATTTATCATATCACATTTGGAAAAGTTTTTAGGAAAGACAAATCTACAGACAATAACTGCGCGAGTTTTTTTCGCCTTGATCGTGGGATTCCAATGTATTTTCAAAATGTTGTTTAAATGGATGTGGATATGGTCGGTGATATGATGAAATTTTAGAGTTTTATGTTGATTTCTTCGACAGATTTCAACTCCAATCGGTTGAGGAGAAGAGATTTTTTTTTTTCTTTTTTAAGTGTATTGCTCTTTGTTGAAGTATGGATTATTCATCTTTAATTGGGCATTGACAATCTATTACACTCATTGATAGGCACACTTTGGCCAATGTTCTGATTGAATGTGTGTATTCGACATTGTGATAGTTGATGCGTTTTGATATGTTCGATATGTGGGGCAGTGTGTATGGATTCAGGGGTTGGGTTAGGGGTATTTGACTTTGGTTGTTAATTGGATGTCGAATGTGAACCACGTCGTAAGATGGCAATTGTACATTGGGACCTGGATGATCGTTTTACAATGCATGTTACATTTAATGTGTAAGGTTAATCCACATAGATCATGTAGTAGATGACATTTGTGTATTTGTTCAGTTATATATGTGTTTGAATGTGTATCGTGTCTTTATTGTAATTAGTGTTTATATACATATCACAATACATTGCGCAAAATTATAGGGGATTTGAGTTTATAATTGAATATGGATTGAATCTCATCGTTCGATGTTGAAGTTACGCTGGGTTAGGGGTGGTGGTGGTTCAATACATAGGTTGAGTTGGGATGTTACATATTATATTTAGGAAGTTACATTATTTTTAATTCAATGGTGGAGTATTGGAATGTCACATTGGATTTAGAATAAAAAGTATATGGGAATGTCACGATGGTTTGGGATGAGAAATATATGAGAATGTCACGTTGGGTTTGGGAATGTTACATTGGGTTTGGAATGTTATATATTACATTTATGTTTTGAATTTCAAAATTTCAACTATATAAATATGATCAGAATCTATAATAACATTGAATTTCTCATATATGGTATTGCCATTAATCAAGTTATTTTAAATTTCAGAAGTATATGAGAATGTCGCGTTGGGTTTGAGAATGTCACGTTGGGTTTGAGATGTTATGTGTTACATTTACATTATCACAATCTATGGTAAGATTTTTCATATATGATATTATCATTAATCAAGTTATTAATTAATTAAGATGAGGGGTAAATGTGTCCATAAAAAAGCAAAAAACTTATTGGATTATAAATTTTTTTATAGGACCGTTTCTTATGTAAGTCTTCTAAATAAAATTTATAAATAATTTATCTATCATTTTAATTATGGACTAAAATGTATTGTATATAATCTTAAAAAAAAAAGTTTTCCTTGCTCTTTTTTTTATTTATTGAATCTCACGTCTTTTCATTTGTAATCCACAATTATTCAAATGATTTTTATAATTTTTAAAAATACCATTAATTCAATATATTTTAAGTAAACTTAATAAAAAAAGTTTTCCTTGATCATTTTTTTATTTATTTAATCTCACGTCTTTTCATTTGTAATCCACAATTATTCAAATGAATTTTTATAATTTTAAAAATACCATTAATTCAAATATATATTTTTTATAATATTTTTAAAAAAAATCATTATCTTAAGAGAAAAGGTTTTAAAATTTATTTTATTATAATCTTTGGTTAGAATGAATGTAGGCAGTGTGACACACTGTATCACTCCACACGCAAAACGAGGCTCACCCTCAGTGTATCAACTGTGCCAGATTCCCCTCGCTCCTCTCTCTCTCCTCTTTTTCTCTGTCTCTGTTTTTCTTCATTTCGGTTTTGCTCTCCTCGTCCTGCTAAATGGTTCAGTCCCTACAAAAAGTGGACTGATTCGCAGAGAGATTATATAGATTGATGTTTCTGTTAATGGGGGGTATGATTTCATGACTCCTCACTCAAGTACTCTTCTCTGCTCACCTCTTTCGCTTTGCCTCTTCTGCGAAAGCACACAACTTGCTTCTTAAATCCAACGTTTTCTTGTCATTCCCATCTGGGTCTCCTCTTGATCCTCTCTGTACAAAGATTTTTCCTTCTGGGTTTTTATTTTCTCGGAAAACCCAACTCATCTAGAAAAAAAGTTCCTCTGTTTCTCACTCTGTTTTTCACTGTTTTAGTTAGGGTTTGAAGAAAGAGGAGGCTTTTGTTGTTTCTCTTTTTCCATTTGCTTTTCTCGTTTTCCCCTCATTTTTCTCTGTGTGTGTTTGGATGCTTGGAAAAGGGGCTGTTCAGTTTGTTGAATTTTAACCGCAACTGAAAAATGGGTGCTGCGAGTTCAAAAACCGAAAAAACTGAAGCTCTGCGACTTTGCAAAGCAAGGAAGAGATTCATCAAACAAGCGATTGATTCGAGGTATGCTTTTGCGGCTGCTCATGTTTCTTACATTCAATCTCTTCGTGACATTGGCATTGCTCTTCGGCGATTCGCCGAGGCCGAAGTGTTGGTAGAGTCATCTCTGTCCACTTCGGCCACTGAAATTGACAAAACCCCCTCACATTCTTCCTATCCATCTCCATCTCCCTCACATATCGCCGATGTTTCGGACTCCCCATTGCCCAACGAAAGCCCCCTTTCGCCCCCATTGTCTAGGTTGAGTTATATGAGATCAGGTGGGACTAGTGCTGTGACTTTCAGGGTTAGCCCATCTAGAAATAATGGCTATGTTCATGATGGTGAATCTGTGACATTTACAATGCCGCCTCCGCCGCCACCACCTCCTGGGTCTGGCTCTTCTTGGGATTTCTTTGACCCAACTGATGATTTTGAGAGCTTTAGATTTGTTGGACAGAATGGGTTGAATGAGAATTTTGATAATTTGGGAGGAGGAGGGTATAGACAATTCAGTGGGAGAGAAACTGATTTAGATAGTGAATGTCATGAAGGACCACCCATGACCCCTGAATCACAACGAAAGGGTTATCGAGTTACTAGTAATTCAGTGACTCCGGGTAACAGAAGTAATCGATCTTTGATGTTGAATGCTAATTCAGTAAAATCTGAAGGAATCGAAAGTTCTATACAACATGCAATTGATAGTGATGTGAAAAAGCTTGATTATGAACAAAATATGAAGGGGGTGCCTGGAACATTGATGGTGAAGGCTGCAATAGAACCATCTAGTTCAAAGAGGGATAATTCTGTTGTGAAGAAAGATATAGGTGCGGAAAGAGAGGATCCTTCAGAGTTCATCACCCATAGAGCTAAAGATTTTCTTTCTAGCATAAAGGACATTGAGCATCGTTTCTTTAGAGCATCTGAATCTGGCAAGGAGGTCTCTCGTATGCTTGAAGCTAACAAAATTCGGGTTGGATATTCTGAGGCAAACGGTAACTATTCATAGTAACGATGGAAAAATAGTTTTGTTTTGTAATTTAAATTTCTGAATTGTATGAATTATGTTTCTCTTGCTGTTCTTGCTGATTTTTTTGGTTGGACATCTTAACTACAGTTCACCTTGTAGGGGGGTCATCAGCATCAGACATTTTGGCAGCTCTACGATTGGCTTGTTGCCGAGGGAAGACTGCACTTGTTTCTCATGGTAAGTTTTAATTTGTATATGAGTATGTATTGGCACCGCGCCACTTTCACTTTCATAGCAGGAACGTCAACTTGCACTGGCAATATCGAATTTCACTTTTTGGAATCCTTGTTCTTGGCTCATATTCACATAGGCCACTCATGATAATAAGGCATACAACTCCCTAAAATCTATTGTTTCGTGGGTGATTCTTATTATTGTGTAGTCATTTTAGAGCTGTTCAAGGATGAACATGCATTCTTACTACTGCAAGAATCATTCCATGTGCTTTTGATCTCCATGACTGCATAGGATTCATTGACTCAATTTGACCTGTGGATGTCTGTGTAGCTTATTTATCATGTTGAACATAAGATTTACTCTATTTTGGAATTCTTTTAAGCAAGGAGATAAGTGCAAAAGTTTTTCTTTTATTTTTTTTAAATCTTTGGAACAAAAATTTTAAAAAGCAATTCAACTGAACAGAACTGGTCCTTGTCCCAATTACTGGGGTTGCCTGCATGATCCATTTCTTCCAATCGATTCTATTTGCAGTCATTTCCTCCAGTTGATTGTAATTTGTGTTACTACAAAAATTTCTCTTCAACTTAAAAGTAATCCTACAACCCTAAAAAGCCCGGACACTTCTACGAATGTGGTGTGTCTTTGCCAGACCCATGTTGGACACTGACACTCATTGGACCACACGTCTAAACGTATCCTACTATTTTTAAAAAACATTCAAGACCCGGACACGCTTTGGACACTTAGGAGACATATGTCTCTATCACTTAGACACATAAACATATTACAAGTCTAAACAAAATAACTTAAGAATCAATAACAAAAGAAAATTAATATAGACTTATGCTTACTTCTCCATAATCCTTTCATGTTATGTTGTACATTTTTATTATTTTTGAATAAAATATTAATATATATAATTATATATTATGCGTGAGTCCCAAACATGTCATTTCTTACTTTTTAAGATAAATTACACTTACCTCCTCTGAGGTTTCTGACAATTATAAGGATCTCCCCTGTGATTTCAATAATTACACTAATCTTCCTTACTTTTAAAACTATTATCAAGATTTTCTCACAGTTAGACTATTTAACAGAATTTTGTTGATGTCATAGGTTATTATACCAAAAATGACGAAATTGCCCATTAGTTACCTTATCTATTCAAATGAGATGAGAAATTTCACTCACCTCCCCTTGAGGTTTTGCATATATATTATTATTTATCAAATATATATATATATATATTTAGGCCTCGTTTAGCAAGTGGCTTTTTTAGTCAAAAAGTCACTAAAAAATTCAAAAAGCCAATAATTCATACCAAAAAGTCAAAGATTTCATTTTCTCTCTACTTTTTGCACATCTTTTCGTAAAAAGTCAAAAAGTCATCCCAAACATACTAGTTTTTTTTACATCACATTTTAATCAAAAAGTTACTAAGGGGTTGTTTGGGATGATCTAAATAAGTGTACTTTTTGACTTTTTATGAAATATGGGTTGTGTTTAGGTTGGATTTGAAGTGATGTGTTAGAGAGGTGATGTGACTTAAATAAGATGATATGAATTAAATAAAATAGTGACTTTTTGACTTTTTGAATTTTTTAAGAGTTGCCAAACTTAGCCTAAAAAAGCCTGTTCCCAAACGAGGCCGTATATTATCGAAAAACCATACATATTTTAGCATTATTTAATAAAATTCTTAAATTTCATGTAATATTAAATAATACCCTTAAGTTGTTGAGACATTTAAGGGTATATGGAGTGAAATTTTAGTAACAACCACAATGGAAGCAGAGAACAGTGAAGATTGAGAACCAAGAATTAATTAAGAGAATATTTTCATTATTTTGGATTGATTGTCACAACGATTGGGGAGATTGGAGCGGAAGTGGTTCATAGAATTAAGACGAGGTGACTTAAGTGGAAGAGTGTGTCTGAAGTATTTTGCGATAAACGAGTACCCATTAGATTAAAAGGGAAATTCTATAGAATGACGATTAGGCTAGCGAGGTTGTATGGGATGGAATGGTGGGCAATTAAAAAACATGTAGAGAAAATGAACGTTGTTGAGATGAGGATGCTAAGGCGGATGTGTGGTAAGATTAGAAATAACAGAGTTCAGAATAAGTATATTCAAGAATGGGTAGGAGTAGTACCGATAGAAGATAAGTTCAGTGATAATAGATTGAGATAGTTTGGTCATATACAAAGGAGACCAAGCAAGGCAATAGTGAAGAGATGCAATACAGGGACGATAGATGGTAGTGTTTTGTGAAGGGATAGACCTAAATTGACGTGGATTAGTGTAGTAAATAGAGATATGATTCTCCTTAATTTGAATAACGAATTGGCCTTAGATAGAGTTGTGTAGAAAAGAAGGATTCATGTAACTGATCCCATTTGATGGAATTTAAGGCTTGATTTGGTTTAGTTTGGTTTGGTTTGGTTTGGTTTCATTGATAAAATATTTTAAAATAAACAATATCTCTAAAATTAATGTTAGATAACATCATAATAATTTAATATAAGGCTTATTCCACACTACATAAGTAACATAAAATTTATCATTTTAAGTAATGCATTTATTATTTGAATTTTTTTTAAAGTTGAAATAAATGAATTTATTTTTTTCCCTACTCCCTACAATTTGCATTACTTATTTATTGATATATAAATAAATTATTATTCTATCTTTTCTCAATCATATATTATTCTCAAATTTTAATTTTTATCTTTGAGCCATTAAATTTCTAGTCGATGCATATTTTAAAAAACGTAGGTTAATATTTCTTACATGATTAAAAAAAATTAAAAAATAAATATGGAAGTAAAAAAAATTTGATCGCCTCACAATAAATTAAAATTAGTTGGTAGGGAATGAAGGATCAAGAAATCATTTGAGAATAATAAACAATTCAAACAATTTATCATTTCTTACACCTAAAATTAAAATTAATCTTTATTTGAATGGAGAAATTATTTGAGAATAATAAAATACTCAATTAATTTGTTATGTATGATATTTAAACTCTATTTCTCCATCTTTATTTATTTCATTTAAACTATTTTTATTAAATTAAATCTTAAAATTAATTTCTCACCTTCATTAATGGTTGAATTTTTATTTTATTCTTCGTTTATAAAAGTTCAAAAATTTGTTGTAGAAAAAAATAAAGTCAAGAAATTACATTTATATTTTGAAAAAGTTATGAAAAATAAATAATAATTTCATATATATTTAACAGAATAAATTAAATTTAATGCATTTAAGGTTAAGATTAATGTTGATAATGAATGAGTTTGGTTAATTGTCAAAAACCTCAGTAGAGGCAAGATTTTTTTTTACGTCTATATTTATTTTTAAATTTTTTTAATTATGTAAGAAATATTAACTTGCGTTTTTTTTTTAATATGTATCAATTAGAAGTTTAATGACTCAAAGATGAAAATTAAAATTTGAGAATAATATATGATTGGGAAAAGATAAAATAATAATTTTTATATATGAATAAATAAGTAATGTAAATTGTCAGAAAAAAATAATCCATTTATTTTAACTTTAAAAAAAATTCAAATAATAAATGCATTACTTAAAATAATAAATTTTACGTTGTTTATGTAGTATGTAATAACTCTTATATTAAATTATTAAGATGTTATCTAACATTAATTTTAGAGAACTTGTTTGTTTTTAAGTATTTTATCAATGAAAGTTTTTTTTTTTTTCCCCATTAAATGTTTTAATAATGTCTTAACAATTTAAGGGTTTTATTTTATATTGCATGAAATTTAAGAATTTTATTAAATAACTCTGTTATCAGAATCTTACGATTTGCGATTCGATTCACGATTCGATTCAGAATTTTTGCAAAATCGATACGAATCTATAGGTGAATCTCTCTGTTATCAGAATCTTACGATTCGCGATTCGATTCGAATTTTTTGCAAAATCGATACGAATGTATGGGTGAATCTATTTTGGAAGTAAATCTCTAGTGAGTCGCATGATTCACAATCGATTCACGATTCAATTCACTTTTTACGATTCACATAATTTTTTAAATTATTGTGTCCGACATATTTTCAACTATTTCTTTCTCCATATTTTTAATGAAAATGACATAATACAACTTCTAATAGCGTTTAATACCAAAATAACCAACATATATACATAATTTGTTATTATTTTAGTGATCATGAAGTTTTTAATAGAATCCAATCAGATTCATTCAGATCCAACATATTTTTAACCTTTCTTCTCATTTTTTTCCCCCTTAAAAAATCATAATATATCTTTTAAAGATGTTTAAGATTAAAGTTACACTATGAATTATCTATTGCTATTTTATTAAATTGAATATAATTGAATATTACATATGTGAGGTCAGTTATACCTTTGAAAATGATTTAAGCTTTAAAATAAAATATTCTAAATAATTCTTTCTTATTATTTGTTCACTGTTACTTAGAAAAGTATGTATGCTTATTGTCCGAATATCAATATCGTTGTTAATTATTGTTACTTTGAAAATTGATAATTTGTCTATTTGGTTATTATCTTTATTAAGAATGGTTGATAATAAATATTTAAAAAGAAAAAAAGTAAGATAGTGATCTTACATAAGAATTTTGTTAACTTTTTACCTATTAAACTACGTGATTATCACTCAAAATAACATTTTCATTGATTTAAGCCTAGATATTTCATATTCGTAAGGTATATTTAACATCTAAATGTGTAAATATATATTTTTAAGTAATTTTAAAAAAGTGACCGAATCTTTACGATTCACGATTCGATTCGATTCGCGATTCGATACAAGGTCATTTCGATTCACGATACGAATCTCGATTTGACAACTATGTTAAATAATGATAAAATATATATGGGTCTTTGATAATATATATGCAAAACCTTAAGGGAGGTAAGTGTAATTTACCCATATTGATAACGAATGAGTTGGTTTATGGATATTTTTGTCTTTTAACATGCAAATCAAAGGGCAATATGGTCATTTTCACACTCAACTAATGCTATTTGTACGAACTTAACAGATTGGGAGAATCTTGATAATAGTTTCAAAAATAAGAGAGGTTAGTGTAATTATTGAAACCACAAAGAAAGTCCCTGTAATTTTTAGAAACCTCAGGGGATGTAAGTGTAATTTAGCTTCTTTTTTTTTCAAATGGCTGTATCACCATATCCATTTTGTACCCTACATTTTTTGAAAATTACTGTATTGGCATGTCCTTGTCCATCATTGTGTTTCTTAGTTATGATCACATAATACAATTGATGCATTTCTCCATTTCATTCTACCTGTCCTAATTCTATGGGTCACATCCTAAATCTCTCTCTTTATGAATATTTGACCAACCCAGATATCAAAAATCATCACTCTTAGGTATCTCATGACCATTAAGTTTTTACTCCCTTTATCCATATTTTTAGTTTTGCTGCAGTTAAACTTCATATATTCTATTTTAGTTCAACACTTAAACCCCTTAGATTTTGAAGTATCTCTCTACAATTCTAACTTAAAGTTTACTCCTCTTGTTTCATCAACAAAGATTATAGCATTTGCAAATAACATATACTGGGGAATATTCTGTGAATGTTCCTAGAAAGTTCATCTAGTGGCAGCTCCAGGAATTTTTGTCCGAGTAGACATTTAATTTATTGTCAATCAATAGAAGATAAATTACAAATATTATGATAATTACGTCAAATTGAACATTCAACTATGAAAAAAAGCTCAACACAATTGCAAATATACAACAAACTCAACAGACATAAGAAAGATCACAAAATCAAACCTCTAACCTCCTAATGAGATGCATATACTCTTGGAAAATGGGCTAATTTCTGGACATCAAAAAATATATATGTATATATATACAAGTCAGGTTTGGAAGTTAGTAAGAAAGCAAAACCTTTTTTCTTTTTTTTTTTTTGCACACATTGGAGCTAGTTTGTCACTCTAAAAAATATATATATATTGAAGTGACAAGTGGTGCGTAGGGTGTTCAATTTTTTTGCAAAAGGGCAAATGCCATTCCAAACATATATTATTACTAGTATTAATTTTTTTGACTGGGTGTTCAAATGAATACCCTCAACTCTTAGTGATGTTGCCTCTGAGTTCATTCATACCTTTTACAAAAAGGTAAGGACTTAGGGTTGATCCTTGATATAAACATATTGTTATAAGAAATTCACATGTTTCTCCTCTGCTGTTCTAACATAGTCACAACTCCATTAGACATGTCTTTATTACTAATACTATTCAGTGTGTTTGGTTTGAGTTTTCTGAATTAAGTTTTTTGAAAACTAACTTTTTTGGTTTTCATATTTTTTTGTTTTTAGTGAATATTTTTTAAATTTTAAACATTTTTTTTTACTTTTTTAAATGCACCTTACTTAGACGTATTTAAAAAGTAAAAAATTTGTGAAAAAATATTTTAAAAAATTAATAAATACATAAAAATACAAAAAATGTACTGAATTTTTGTATTTTTTTATATTTTTGGTATTTAGTGAATTTTTAAAAGATTTTTTTTACAATTTTTTTACTTTTTAGGTGTATTTATGTTAGGTGTGTCTAAAAAGTAAAAAAATTACTTAAAATATTAAAAAAATTCAGTAAAAACAAAAAAACACGGAAAATAAGAAAGTAAAATTTTCTGAAAAGTGTTTTTTGAAAAGTGGAAACAAGCAAGGTGATTACTTTTTAAAAATTCTCTGCGTTCTCTCTCTAAAAATCCCATCATATATCCTTTTTCTAAGTAAATAAACATCATATAGAGATATTTGTTATAAAATTTTTTGACTCTTTTTATTGTGATTACTTTTTGAACATCTTCATTCCACCATCAAGTTTCTTTAGATGGTGGCCACTTCACTTAGATTTACCAAGAATCTCTTTTGCTAGTTTTTTTAATGCAAGTATTCATCTCACATCACATAGAATAATTTCCTTATTTGAAGTTCATTTTCCTTTCATAATCATTATGTTCTTAAAATAGTTTCAATTGTGCAAGTCCCTATTTCCTTTAATCTTCCTCGTCTATCTCTTAATACATACATCTGAACAATTGAACTATGTTTACAATCCTTACATGTTCATTTATCAACTTTTCTAATGAGAAAGAAATCTATTTGACTGATTTTCATTCCACTTGTAAATTTTATCAAGTGTTCATCCCGTATCCCGTTTTTAATGCGTGTGTTTGCTATGACAAAATCATATGCCATTGCAAAGTCTTGGATAACATAACACTACTTTCAGAATTTCTCTCGCTGAATTCAAAATCCGAATGTACTCCCTTGGATCCTGCACTTCACCTAGAAAAACTCTATCTCCACTTGGTCCCTGTTGAAAGCATATTTATGTAATTCGAATTGATTAGATTGTGGAGTTAATTCTGTATATGTTAGTTTGAGCAGTCATCAGCATGACATACAACCAACTTAGTAAAAATCCTTATCAGGGTGGAGGCAGTTCTACTTGTAGCATAACAAGAAGGAATACTTGATCTTGAACTAGTTAGACAACATTTCTTCTGTTTTTTTGTTACCATAATCTAATTTTTACTATCTGTACAGATCCTTCAGAACATGGGACAAAGGTTATTACTTGGAAGCGCGCAACATCCTCAAGGTCATCTTCTTCGAGGAATCCTCTTACCTCAGCATCAAAAGATGACAATGATGATAGTGGAAGTGATTTTGTTGAAGAGTTCTGCATGATTGCAGGAAGCCACTCCTCTACTCTGGATAGACTGTATGCATGGGAAAGGAAACTGTATGATGAAGTGAAGGTAATTGTTGAAGCCTCTTTGTCATCATCAAAATAATTTATCATTGTTGACCTGCTTGGTTATTTGGGTATGGTGTTGCATTTACTGTTAATCACCTGCCATTTCAAGTGATTATTTATCACAATTTTCAATATTTGGTATCCAGATTTTTCTTTTTATTTATATTCAAGCTAATCTGAATGCAAAGCATCTGATCCCTCTTGATGAATTTGGTTTCGATTTACAAATTGCATGCTTTAAATAGTTCTCTTGTTGATTTGTTATTTGTCGCATCAATTTATTCCATTATTTGAACTCTGTCTAGATTTGTCTCAGAAAACAATGTGTTAGTAATGCCTCATTTGATACCCATAAATTGTATCGTGGGTGATATCTCATTTTGTTGCTTGTTGATATGAATGGAAGGAGAACAGCGAGAATATTTCAGAAAATTTGCGGTGAAAAGGCTCAAACAAGATTGAACCCAACTAAATTTGGTTGCACAATATTTTATATTTGTGAAGAATGACTTGCTTTATAGGAATTGATTTTCTTTGTAGATTCTTCATATTACTAAATCTACACAGCGTTAGCTTTTCTGTTAATGTATGTGCACTGTAAAACCAGTTGCTTAGAAGCTAAAATTTTTAATTATGATACAATTAGCAAACTATAAAGGTTGTACTCAGTGCAGAAGGCTCCTGTTTAAATGATAAAAGTGTCATAACTGCTGATAACAGAAATTAGTACATCAACGAGGCAATTGGTGTTGATAAACTTGGCAGGTTAGAGAACCCAATAGACAACACTTTGATGGTGAATAGCCACCTTAATATATTCACCCGATTTCTTTTTAGCATTACCACATAATCCTCAGTTTAAGACAAATCAAATTATGTCTGGAGGAATATTGATTGGTGGTTCAACACTTCAGGGGTGTATTTTTTTCGTTATTCATATACTTCAGAGATGTATTTTTTAGTTGCTATTAAATGTGCAGTAAACAACAAAATAAAAACACCAAAGTAGGACTAGATTGTTCAGTTTTGGTGCCGGTTAACTTCTTCCTTCTGAAAGAATTTGTTTTGTCTGATCAAACCAAAATCTGTTGAGGTAATAAAGAAATTCTTCATTTGACTTGAAAATTAAGGAAGAATCCATTCAAAATGTAACTCTGTTCTTATCTGATGAATGTCTATTGGGATGTTTGTAACATCAATAGTTTCAAAAATGTTTTTCAATTAATCAAGTGGCTAGATCTCTAACTTTGTAGTCGTTATTATATCCCTTGGCATTACTGTTGTAATCCCATTCTTGTTGGATCCATCTCTGACATAGCATCGCATCTTCTTCACTTTTTGCATGCTCATCTTGGCCTTGTGCAGGCCAGTGAGTCTATCAGGAAGGAGTATGATCAGAAGTGTGACCAACTCAGGTGCCAATTTGCAAAAGATCATAGTGCGCAAGTAATTGATAAAACTCGGGCAGTGGTGAAAGACCTGCATTCACGAATTAGAGTAGCCCTTCATTCTGTTGATTCAATATCAAAGCGGATTGAGAAAATGAGGGACGATGAGCTGCAGCCACAACTTGTAGAACTGATTCAGGGGTAAGATTAATTTTGAAAAAACATTTATTTTGAAAATTAGATCTTGACACCTTGTTCTTGTAGCTTCTTAGGGCATGTTTGGTGCATCTTTTCATAAGCTGAAAACTGATAATTAAAAAGCGGAAGCTAAAAGCACCCCTCCTTTAGCTTTCAGATAATCAGTTTTTTTTTTCCAGCTTATCTAAGCTATCTCTGCCTAATATGTTGTAAGCAGAAATTGCACCAAACAATTTGGCATAGGCCCTTAAAATTTTTTTAAAAAAAATTTAAAAAATTAATAAATAAATAAATAAGAAGAAGAAGAAGCTGTAGCAGCTCATATAAACTACACCAAACAGCCCCTTAGTCTACAAATCATAATTTCTATCAGATGTATGACCAATGGATCATGTGCAGATTGATTAGGATGTGGAAGACCATGCTAGAATGCCATCATGCACAGTACATCACTATTTCATTAGCATACCAAACGAAAAGCTCAACTGGCACTCCTCAAGGAGATACACAAAGGCAGATTATGATTCAGCTTGAGGATGAGATTGAATGCTTTGGTCTGAGCTTTGCCAACTGGATCAATAGCCATACAACATATGTGGAAGCTCTCAATGGATGGTTGCAGAATTGCATCTTGCAACCCCGGGAGCGGTCCAAGAGCAGGAAGCCATTCTCTCCTCGTCGAGTTGTGGCCCCACCTATATTTGTTCTCTTTCGCGATTGGTCAGCTGGGATTAAAGGCTTGCCGTCTGAAGAACTTAGTGATTCCATCAAAGCCTTTCTTTGTGATCTGCGCAATTCAATCAGGCAACAAGCTGAGAAACTGCAGGAGGAACAAAAAAAGCTTGATTCGAACAACAATGGAGAACCAGAATGCAAGAATGACGAGAAGAATGATGATAGGTCCTCAAACTTAAGCTGCGTAAATACGAGTCTGGCGAAGGTTCTTGAACAGCTGACCAGGTTCTCTGAGGCTTCTCTGAAAATGTACGAAGATATTCGACAGAAAAGTGAAACTGCTCGAACTACATATTCGAACTACGAGCCACCCAGATTCCAAGGGTCATCATCATCTAGTTAACAGATATGAGTGTTTTTTAGGGTTTTGGTTGGAAATAGATATTTGTAAAATTGGAAGTTGTTGCAGAGGTGACTTTGAGAAGAAATAGGTTTGAATTGGCAGTGGAGAAAATTCAGTATTTATAGTTTTTTCAAATGAGTGGGGGAATTGGTAGTGGAGCAAATCCAGTTTTTTTAGTTATCTCTTCCCAAATAAATATGGAAAAGTGGTAGCTGTATGTTATGTTTGAATTTATTGCCTCTCTCTGTGCATGGTGCTGGTACTACTGGTAGTTACTGGTAAAGGCCTATAATGGCACAAACGCTGAAGATGGAGACAGTGCCGGTGAATCATATCAATCTCCTACCTACCATCATTTATACCCATGGCTTTCCATTAGTGGAATTTTTTTTTCCTTCATAAAGTTCTACACAAAATTTGCTTTACAGTTGTGTTAAGGTCCGGTAACACTATCCCCCTTTTTTTTAAAAATAGTTACATACACTCCATGTGATGAGCAAAGCGAATTCATTAACGCGAATTCCTTTATGCTGTGTTTGGTTGAGGGATTTGATGAGGGATTTGGAAAATGAAATGGAAAAGGTAGGTGAAATGTAAAAAAAATATACTTACATTTCACATAGTTTCACACACCTTTTCCCTTTCCCTTTCCAAATCCCTCTCCAAATCCCCCAACCAAACACAGCATTAATGGTTGTTGAAAAACGATCTTAATACCTCTTAGCTATTCTCTCTCCTGCCGCTTTTTTTCAGCAAAACCAGCAAACTAACTAGGTGTCAGCAGTTAGAGCTATCACCAATTCTGGTGGCATTTCCGAGATATAATCCCTGCCATTGCACAAATGAAGGGCTCCCTTTGCTAAAAGATCAGCACAGGTGTTGGCTTCCCTTCCAATATGAGTGAGGACACGTTGCCTATCCTTTGCCACGATGTCTCCAATCGCTGGACTTAGATTGAAATTTGGATTTACCATATTAGGCTTGAGAATAGCTTGGACTGCTTCAACGCAGTCAGTTTCAATAATAAGCCGAAAGTAACCATTCACCCAAGCCAACTGAATTCCACCCTAGATGGCTCATAACTCTGTCAAAACAACAGAAGCACGTCCCACATAATGTTTGAAACCAATAAGCCACTCATCCTGATCTGATCGAATTAAACCCCCTGCACGGCCACTCTGCTTTGCAACTGCTCCATCAACATTAACTTTGACCCATCCTTCCAGCGGCTTACCCCAAGCAGTAATGATCTTGGAGCAGCTGCGATTGTTATTGGTTAGAGCAGACTTAGCTACTTCAATCTCTCTAATCCTCCCTTTGAGGTATGCAATGGGATAATAAGGCTCCTTGAAATTTGCTTATTTCTCCAAAACCACGCGGAGGATAGTGGCCATAAACAGCAAATTCCAAGAATATGTTGTTGAGAGGATATGGTGAGCCATAAACAGCCTGTTTTTACATGTTATTCTTTAACATAATCTCATATTAACCCAAGTATTTTAAATTTTATAATCTAGTATCTAATTTATTTACAGCTTTAATTATTCATACAACATACATATACTGAACGAAGGTTCAATATACAGTTTAGGCTCCAAAGATTCAAAACGGTTGATGAATTTAATGTTCCATTCCATTGTTGGGTACAAAATGAATTCAAGAACCACAAAGTAACCACGTTGTTGGGGAGCTGCAGGGGAGATGGGGAAGGAAGAAGGCAGTGGCAGTGTTGTTAGAGAGGAGGGAGAGGAGAGGGAATGATAGGGAGGTTGGGGAGTTGCAGAGAAGGATGGAAGCAGTGGCAGGGAGATCAACTCAGAACAATTATCTGACAACTGAAGCACTCTGCAAAAGCGCGGTGGACTGAGTTGTACTTAAACTAATGAGTTGCAGTTCTTCAAACTGATATTAGTGACTATTATTATTATTATTATTATTAGAGTGCTGTTCTGAAGAAACCAAAGATGGAAAAATGGACAGGAAGGTGGATAAACGGTGGGGGAAGGTGGCTTCTGGGGGCCGGTAGGGACGGTGGGAGGAGTAGGTGGTTTAAGAGTGAGGATTAGAGTTTGGGTATTAGGGTTTGAAAGTAGAAGGTGAAGAAAATGATAAAGATGTCTTTCCCCATTAATATTTGACCTCCATTAAAGAAATTTTTCTTCATTTTACTTCCCCTCCCCGTCTTTACTGAAAAAGTGATAGTATAACTTTAATTCGAAACCACATTAGAATACATCGATATTTCTAAAAGACAGGATATAAAGTACTACTACGAGGGACTAAAATTTGCCCCATATTCTTTATAACCATGCATAACCAACCAATCCAATTTATACAGGGCAGCAAGATAATCAAACAGGTAATCAATGATTATTAGGGTCCTTTCTTTTGTGGGTATCAAATCTGTTGGGATATAAAAAAAGGCAGATTTTCAACAACTACCTGTCAAGTGCTTCAAATTTCACAACAATATTCTTCCAGGCCCAATTTTACCACTTGGTTTAAAGAGCAGTAGCACGCCATTTCCGGAAGAATTTCTGACCCCCTTGCCTACGATGATACAGAAAGAATTGAAGAACAAAACTAAGAATAACATCCTTTAATTTTGCCATTACCACTCCTCGTCCCTCTTTGCTGTTGTTTCAACTAATCTGAAGTTGCTATAGGACTCAGAATCCAACAATCTGCGTGTATTGTGAGTAAACTTCTGCAGTTGACTGCTTGCCAATTGGGGCACGCGTAACATGATCTGGAAGATCAAATGCATCTACGAGCTCCCTTGCAATGTTCCTTACTTGGAAACAGAGGTACTCTGTCAATTTGTGAATTGCCTGCAAAATGGAAAGCGCATCATGCGTTCTCACCCTTTGACTCAAAAACAAATCCAGCTATATCAGCAGGACATAATCCAAACAAATTTTGATTCGGTTCTCCTACTTACACACAAATTATCATAGAACCAAGCACAACCTTCTCAAATGGGTGTAAGATCTGCAAAAAGATAGAACTCATCTCATATGAGAGGGTTGTGTTTGGTTTTGTGATCCGTTACTGTGTTTTTAGACTTTTGTCATTTTGTTTCTTGTGCATAATTTCACATTTATCCTTCAACTCTCAGGCATTACTCTGAAAGCTCTCGGATGAGAGATAAACTAGCACCCCAAGTTGAGGTCGGAGCATTAGTTCATAGGCAACAGGAGTTATGCCTTTGCCCTTGTTTGGCCATAAGCTGAAGCAATCTAATCAACATAGTTCTTGAGTTTGAATCTATATGCTTCAATACCTTAGCTTTGTTGGGGGCCACATAATCCACATTGCGGTAAGTTCCTATGTCATTCCAGATTCGGTCCAAGGCATAAAGATCGCAAACGAGTTTTAGAGCAGCTCGAGAAGTTGGATCAGGGCAGCTGGAGCAAAAAGAAGGCATACTTGGACTCAAAACTCATTGAAGAGAAAAACGAAGATTTTTCTGATGCTGAAATTAGGAATTACCTCTGTACAGCTTCAATGAATTTTGCGAGGGTGACAGATTCAATGTGGGACTCTGCAAGTGTCAGAAGATGATTTAAACATCTATTCCAAGCACCAAAGCCCCCAAGATTCTTAGAGTGCTTTCTAAGTCTCACGGCAACACTTTGAAGCAATCGAGATGTACGATACTGCACCATGAAAGGTCATATAAGCCAAAAGTACAGTCTGAAAGGTATGCTAAGAAGCATGGACACATGACACACCAACAAGCCGACATGGAAAATTTTAAAAAATGTAGGACACGATAGGTGGGGAACACATGCAAATATATAATTTTATATATTTATTATGTGTCATATATAAGAATAAATAATTATTATATGTCGTATATTCTGAATATTTAAGTCAAAGTTAATAATTTTTAAAGGCTAAAGCAATAGAATAGGTATAAATTTACAATTTTTTATTTTTTATTTATCATTGGATTCTACGTTATTTTATTCAAACTTGTATCGTGTTTCATGTGTATCTAAGTGTTAGGAAGTGTCCGACGAGTGGAGTGTCGTATCGTGTCAGTATCGGTGTCGGACACAACACGTTACCTTCTTTGAAGTGTCCATACTTGTTAGAGGTATGCCATGATTATGCTGTGAAAATCACAGAACCAAAATGATACTCACCCTGAAGGCATCCAACTGGAAGTTTGGATCTCGCAAATGATCTTCACCTTCCCAACGAGCTGTTACTGGATTTGGTTGGGACAGATAAGAGTTCATGGACTCTCTCAAATAGTTCCATGTAACAGCAAGTGTCCCACCTTCAAACTTCTCTTTGTATTGCTTCAAAAGGTCTGCTGCTACCTGCATCACAAGAGAATTTTCCAAATCTAGCTTTCATATGAAATGCAAACGGCAACTTCATAGAAATGGACTAAAAATCGGAACTTTTATTGTAAATCTAATTAATAAGTTGCAAACAAACTTTTTCCACTAGTTAAAAACCCACATGGCAGACAATTATAGTCAAGTAACTCAACTCAACCCAACTCATATTCACATACGCATACCCATCTATAGCACCACAAATTCAATTACTCCTGAGCTTTGTTTCAATGAGAAGACTCGGTTTCTATATTTGAAAAAAGGGTAAATTACACTTTAGTCCCTATTGTTTCCAATTGAACAATTTGAACCCTACACTTTAAGTCTAGCTTCAATTTGGTCCTTCTGTTTAAGTTGAACGTTAAAATTAACAATTTTGAGACACTTATCAATCTCCTGAAAAAATTAACAGAAATTTTGACGCAAGGACCAAATTGAAACTAGACTTAAAATGTGTAGGGACTAAATTGTTCAAATTGAAACAATAAGGACCAAAGTGAAATTTGGGTCAAACTATCAGGGTAAAAAGTGCAATTTACCCTTGAAAAAATTATAAGAACAAGATATCATGGATAAGATTGATTTGCAACCTGTTGTAGAAGCACAGTGTTATCCCCTTCAAATGTCTGAAATATGTCATGATCATTCCTCAAACTACCAAACCGATTGACAGCAGCATAGCCATGGCCTCCGCAGGATTCTCTGCAGATGCTCAATGACTTTGCCGTATAAGAAGTCACATAAGCCTTGAGACCTGCAGAGAGTGCATGGACATCTGCCACCACTTGTTCATCATGAGACTTCTTCATCTCAGAATATTTCTCCAACAAATGCAATGTGGCAAAATGGAAAGCATAAGTTGAGGCCAGCATAGGCATGAGTTTATGCTGGTGAGACTGATAATCAAGAATGCTGATTTCGGGCTGCCTGGGAGGACCAAATTGTTGTCGGAGTAACGAATATCGGACAGCGATCGTGATGGAAATCTTGAGGACACCATTCGAAGAGTATGCAAGGCCAACCCTTCCCCCTACAAGCTCCCCTAGCAAGGCAGCAAAGCGTTTATTAATGGTCGAAAGGCTGCTTGTGTATTTCCCTTCCCTTGAGACATCTCCAAATCGATTAAGGAGATTGTCTCGGGGAATTCTTACTGAACGAAATCTCAATGCTCCATTATCTACTCCGTTCAGACCAACCTTGTGACCACAATCATGTATTTCGACCCCTGGAAGTGTTTGGTGGGTCTTCAAATCCCTAATTGGAACAATGAAGGCATGAACACCCATATCAGAAACTCCTTTTGTATCATTAGTTGTCAACATCAGCTTGGCAAACACGGTAGCAAACTTTCCATGAACTGCAGCATTGCCAATCCACCATTTGATTGCCCCATCATTGGATGTGTTAATTATGAATTCATCTGTAAGTGGATCAAATGTAGCAATGGTTTGGAGGCCTTGGACATTTGATCCTTTTAATCACAAGCAATTGAGAAAGATTAGCCTAGATGCAAGTGACAGGTGGTTGTGAAGTTTATAAGTACTTATTTAAAGCCATAACAAACTTTTGGTTGACATGGTGTACTCTGCCACTTATTATTTGTCATTGATAAAAAGTGGGACCAGACTTTGATGCGGCCGAACACTGGGCATCTCAGCTGAGCATACAGTATTTCTTGGGTTCCACATTTACCTCATAATAAATCATGAGTGTGAAAGGGGAGAACCATTCTACTTTGGAAAATGCCAAAAGAAAGGAAAGAATAAGTATGAATTGACTAACTGAAACAAAATTTGAAAGAGAGAATAAAAGAAAAATGTGATAACAAATTATTGATAATTATCATCAGACTCTTGCCACTTGTTGATATGAAAAATGTAATTCCACAGATAAGAAAATCATGTACCATAATTTTTTATTCTGGGTCTTCAACATCTTACATATGCTATGAATTCTGAGGCTAAATTAAACTCTCATATTTTCCAACTGCATGTGTCAGAATAGCTTCTCCTAGATTGTATAATGCATACAATCCTCGACAGCATAATTCACATTTCTCATGCATATAAAGTGTACAGCCGAAGTATACATGAATTCAGTAAAAACAACACATTTATATTTATTCTTTGTGGTTTGTGTTTGTGAATGAAAAGATCCAGGTGAAATACATCAACTCTGCCTCAGCACTCGAGAAGCATTTAAAGACAGTAGGAATGATGAAGTGTTCAAAGTAACAGATGAAATATCTTAACAACTGAGCAAGCAGTATACCCAAGCAGAAAGAATAAATATTTTGTTTGGAGGTGGAGATCTGGAATGGGGAGGGAGAGAGAGAGAGAGCATACCGTGATGGAGTTCCGTCATAGCAAAACAACCCAGATAATCCAAATTGTCAATGCCTTCAAAGTACTTATCCTTATGCTTTTTAGTTCCCAAGTTGAGTACAGAAGCTCCCCAAAGACTGAAAGAATAGATAAATAAATAAATTAAGTTATTGAGGATGCAGTCCTTAAAGGTGTCAAAATTCAAATCTGCCCTGACAGGCACACAGTTATTATATTCATGGAACAGAATGCAACAAGGGCCAACCGACCGACACTCCAGCTTGTAAGGACGAATATGCCTAGACTAGGCAACAAGAGAAGAAACAACTATTCCTAAAATAATTTATGTAATTGGATTACAACTATTACCATCATCAAGCCAAGGCACTACATACGGATTATAGATTATCTGATTAATCATAGAGGCCTCAAACCAATCGGTGACAAGAATGTCTTCATCTTTAGTTGAACATAGTTACAAACACAACATTTTTCTTTGAGATTATGGCTGATTTTGGTCAACTAGGTAACTTTTTAAAACAAAATCAAGTATTTAAGTTGCATATGAAGCTTAGGACCTAACAAACTATGTGGCATACCCAAAAGAGACCGGAAGAATAATTCATTGGGTAATAACATAGGCTGCAGTTTTTAAATCTCATCGTTTAGTATACAGAGAACATATTAGCACATGCCTCACATTTTATCACAACATATTGGAATACCAAATCGAAAGTTCAAAATCAGAATTCGAAATCAATCACAATTTTCGGTTTAGCACACTAGAGGACTAACAGACCCCTGACTGAATCCAGTTTTCTAAATAATCCGTAGCAGCCATTTCCTATAATCAAAAAATGACAGAGTCTGACTACTGCATTCATCACTGACTTACACCTCATTTGTTCTACAAACGTGAACAAATGATAGTGCTAGGGGAACATCTGAAAAGTTGCAAAGGAGACTTACAATTGAGGGAAACAACCATGTATAGAAGTGCAGGATACATCACAGAGGTGTACAAATGAATTTGGACTTTGAGATAATACCGACTTAAGGGGTATTTTTACAAGCATCAAGAAAAGAAAAATCCATTGGTAGAAAAAACCATAGGTAGAAAAATTCAAAAGCATTTAGAAATGATTATTGATCCAAATATGGGATCAACAACTTAGAAAAAGCATGGATCAAACTTCAGGAACTAATTTAATGGCTCTTAGGATTAATCCAAAAAAAAAATACTACTAAATGACCCAACAATTCAAATTGACAAAGTATCATCTCTCCCTGTAAGTAATTAGTAGATGAAAAATATGAAATCGCTATACAAACGTTGGACCAAGCAAACAATGTTTACTTCTTTAAGAAGGTGAGTGGCTAAGTGTAATTAGTGTGTGATTATAGCATTGACAGGCATAAGAGTGTCTACTAAGTGTTGGACTCTACTACGATTAATAAAATAAAAATGTGCCAGCAATTTTAAAAACAGCAATTTGAATTGAATTAAACCAGTATGGTAACGAAAAGCCACTGAAGCAGATTATTAGTTTGAATTCACTATTTCAAAATCAATGTATAATATGACTATTAAAGATACAATTTTTTTAAATCAAATAAGCATAATTGTAATTGCACATCACAATCCACAACCAAAAGGCCAAATATGTATTCCCGAGGTATCCAAATGAGCAAATTGCCTGAACAATAACTTCAATAAACACACAACCCAATTTCCATTCGACTCAAAATCCAATACAGTAATAATATAATATAATCCCCAAAAGATGAAATCAGAGAGTCCTAAACCCAATACCACATAGAAGTACAAAACACAAAATTCAAATATGATACAACCTCTAATTTGGGAGCTCTAAAAGAGGATTAATGATGTGAGAAAAAAAAAAAAAAAAAACCAAAGCCAAGACATCACATCACAGGAGACCTACACATCAATTAGAGCTATTAGAGCTCTTAGAGCTCTCAATCTTTTTTCTTACTATTAGGGTGTGTTTGTTTGGACGGACTGGATAAGGAGATTGTAATCCATCGGACTGTTAGTCCCGAGATACATTGTCTCAGGACTATTTGGTTAGATTGAATTTGTATCCTATGTTTGTTTAGTCATGGGATTAGATGTCTAGATTGAACTATTTTTAGTAAATCCAATGTTTGGTTAGACAGACTGAATAAGGATAAATATTTAAAAGACTATTTTACCCTTATAATCTATAATTTATAATTTAGCAACACTAAAAAAATTTAATATATAGTTTTAAATTAACAACACTAAAAAAATAATTTATAAATGTTTAAAAAACTATTTTACCCTTTTTTAATTGTTTAAAAAGTAATAGCATGGAGTGTAAAATGAACATTTCACAATCGGACTTTTTACATATCTCTCCTTATTTGGGATCCTATTCACCTCTTTGGGCTTCTATTGAATCGAGAAATAGGTTTGATTGTCCATCTTTTTGATATTGATATATAAGGCATCCTCCGGATAATTCAAATCCAAGCAATTGGATGTCCGACTCGGGCCTATATGACATGACCGATCAATAGCAATACTCCAACACCCCACCTTTGTCATATATTCCATACATCACACTAGATAGATATCATATTCATGGAATATGATTCACTTTCAAGATGCCTTGGTGGTGAAATGGTAGACACGCGAGACTCAAAATCTCGTGCTAAAGACACCTCATGGATAGTCCATGTTTGTGAGACTAATAGTCCAAAACAAAATCCCACCCTGTTATCCCTCAAAACAAACATACAGAGAAAAGAAAATACCTGTACTGAACCCCCATCTTGATACCGAACGACATGTCGACACTGCCAACAGCTTCAGCAATGGCGAAATACTTGGAAGGGTCATCAGCAACGTACCTAAAAGGCCTAATCCCAGCTTCTCTGACCAGACCCAGAAGCTGCCTCATACACAGCTCTCGATGATCGTCCTTGGAGATCTCAACCGGAGTCTGAAGATCGGGCCTAGAATTGAAGTACTCAAAAACCCTCTCTTGTATGTCCCTGTGCTTCCCTCTCATGTAGTCCGACAGCTGTTGGGTGCTCACGCTCAGCTTCGTCCTGCTCGCGCACGCTTGCAGCTCGAGGGCGTCGGCCACTTGACGGTCAGGATGAATCGGCGGTGGGTTTAGGTGCAAGGACAGCCGTTGGATTCGCCGGGAAATGGGTTGATCATCATCTTCAGCCGTCTGATTGGGATTGGGAGAATGAATTGTGGGGTTCCAAGAGATCATTTGCAGTGGATTACGAGACTCCATTCTTCGATCAGAGAGAGAGAGGTCTGTATGTATGTCTGTATGTATATATATATATATATACGTATTTGATGAGAGATAAAGTGGCGTGTGAATTGAATGAAGGAAGACGGGGGTTCTAGACGTAACGTTTGATGACGTGGGTTTTTGCGCGTGGCGGATGTTGATTGGAAGGATATGTATGGCAGTTAACATTTATTTTTTGGCGCGCCTTTCAACGTCGAGACCAACGATCGTTATCTAGAATTGGATTAGATCGGTGACTGTGACAATTTTGTTTTTTTCCCAATTAGTTCTTATAAAATAGCCGCTGACTCTTGTTTTATGTTTTTTCTTTTTATTTTTTTCAGATTTTTCTATTATAAAAAACACACCCACCTCTATTAAAATTTGAAAAAATTATAATTAAATATTCATTTTTAACATAATTACATTAATTTTTTAATTTACATAATGACAATTAAATTATTTTTTATCAATAACGCAAGAATAAAATATTGTTCAAATTGTGAAATTAATTAAATAGATTTATAAAGAAATCAAAATTATATACCAAGAACATATGCTGATAATTACAACTAAATTTTAACAGAAATACACAAACAATAAAATGATAAAGAAACTAAACCGAAGCCTGCACGGTAGCAATTTCCTTGAAACAGATTTCGCCGCCTCACGGATCGAGTGCTTGAGGAATCCCGGCGTCTGTCTCCCAGGATACGACGGTAAAAAACCAGCTACGGCAGAAGCACTCTCTGGCTAGCTTAGTGAACAAAAACAGTGGCAGCACTCTCTCACAGTAGGAACTTTCTGGCAAACTAACTAAAGAATGGAAGAAACAATTTCTGTGTTGTTGACTTGACAGGAGAGTCTCAATTTATATATGTATAGGAGAGAGAGGAGAAACCTCCAGCCTTTATGGCTAGTCACTAATGCACCATTAATCTTTGTAATAAAGGCAGGAGTTACAAATCACATTAATGCACTATTAAACTCTGCAATAAAGGCAAAAGTTACAAATCCCGTTAACTCTTTCATGAAACTAACTTCATGAGGCAATTTCTCATTCAATTTTCAATGGTTTTGGCTATACTATTTATGCTGTAAAGATCTCATTGCAAAGTATCTAGACCCACTTGGACCCAACACAATAGACGGTTAGGACCCACTTTAATATTTAATTAAAGTCACCAAAAAATCATTTTTTCCAACAATCCCTCACATGAATAAAAATTGACCGAAAGACTCAACAAACGGACATCGTTCAACAATAATGACTCGAAGAGAGAGTGCAACGAACTAACCCCGACATCAGAGAAGGTAGCTTTTGGCTTTGAACCTCTCCCAGTGAAAACCTATCGAGTTTACTGGCTGATCAGTGAATAAGACATCTTGAACTGCTCTGCCGTTTATGTAAACTGAGACAATTGATCTCACAGGGGAATTACTCCTACCACCATTCTGTTCTCACTGGTGTGCCCTGTGTGGCCCTGAGCACTAGCCTGGTTCAGTGAGTGGTTTCAAAAAATCTTGGCCTGCCCAATTCTTCTAGAAGCGGCCCTACTTCAAACTCACATAGGTGACTCTACTTAAGTATCCTGCTATACTCAGCTCAACAGCTTAACATACTAGAGTCATTAAAAGCTCAGCTTAACCTCTACACTTGCAGGTATCACTGATAGAAGGAATGGCTGGAGGTTTAACCTCCTCAGTGACATACCACAGTTACACGCAATTAGGTTGTTCCGTTGAACCTAGATCTTGGGATCTCCAGTCAACTAGGTTGGATTTCCATTCCAGTAACTTCCAAAGGCCTGAACCGCATTCCTTTTGACGACGTTTCGACTAACACTCGATTTAACTCTTTGGTTAGCGGATCCGTAATGTTGTCCTTGGACTTTACATAGTCTATAGAGACAACTCCATTCGAGAGTAGTTGTCGTATGGAATTATGTCTATGACGGATATGTCTTGACTTTCCATTATACATATTACTCTGTGCCCTAACAATTGCAGATTGACTATCACAATGAATACAAATAGCTGGCACAGGTTTAGACCAACGTGAAATATCTTTCAATGAAATGGCGAAGCCATTCAGCTTCTTCCGTTGCTTTATTCAAAGCAATAAACTCTGATTCCATCGTTGATCTAGATATACACGTTTGCTTGGAAGATTTCCAAGGCACGGCTGCCTCAATAAACTCTGATTCCATCGTTGATCTAGATATACATGTTTGCTTGGAAGATTTCCAAGACACGGTTGCCCCACCAAGAGTGAACACATATCCACTAGTGGACTTTGAGTCCTTTATATCTGATATCCAATTCGCGTCACTATATCCTTCAAGCACCGCTGGATATCGAGTATAATGCAGCCCATAATCCCGAGTGTAGCGTAAATACCTTAACACCCGCACAATGCCCTTCCAATGAGAAACATCAGGATTGCTTGTGTATCTACTAAGCCTGCTAACCGAGTAAGCTATATCCGGCCTAGTACAACTCATCAGATACATTAAACTTCCAATTACCCGAGAATATTCTAACTGTGAGACACTTTCATTATTATTCTTGGTAAAATGTAGACTTAAGTCTACAGGTGTCGATGACACACTCGTATCTGATCCACTAAACTTCTCAAGTATCTTATCGACATAATGAGACTGAGATAGTACAATTCCGCTAGAGATTCTGGGAATCTTAATTTCCAAAATAACATCTGCAATGCCCATATCCTTCATCTCAAACTTAAAGTTTAACAATTTCTTGGTAGTTTTGATCATTTCATCGTTACTACCTATAATGAGCATATCATCAACATATAGACACAAAATAACATAACCTTTGTCAGTGTCTTTGACATAAATACACTTGTTACATTCGTTGATTCTAAACCCATTTGACAACATTACGTTGTCAAACTTCTCATGCCATTATTTAGGCGCTTGCTTCAAACCATACAAAGATTTGACAAGTTTATAGACTTTTTTGCTTTTTCCTGGAGCTGAAAACCCTCCAGGTTGCTCCATGTAGATTTCTTCATTCAAATCCCTTATTTAAGAAAGCTGTCTTTACATCCATCTGGTGTATTTCTAGATTACGCAATACTGCTATCGCAATCACCATGCGAATGGATATTATCCTAGTTACAGGTGAGTACGTATCAAAGTAATCCAGACCTTCTCGTTACCTGTACCCTTTGATAACGAGCCTCGCCGCATACTTGTCAATTGACCCATCGGCCTTCATCTTTCTTTTAAAAATCCATTTGCAACCTAAAGGCTTGCAACCTGGAGGTGAATCTACCAACTCCCAGGTGTGGTTCTATAAGATGGAGTCAATCTCACTTTTGATTGCTTCTTTCCATAAAGGACTCTCAGGAGAACTCACAGCTTCGTGAAAAGTTTGAGGTTCATTCTCAACCATATAAGTCAAGAAGTTTGGACCAAAAGATTTGGATATCCTAGCCCTTTTACTCCTTCTAGGCTCATCTAAAACCTCAATTTGATCATCACCTTGATCATTAACATGATCATCATCACTAGCAAGCTCATCAAATTGCTCCAAAGACCTTGGAACCCCTTCATGGGTTTGGCAAGGAAAAATGTCTTCAAAGAAACATGCATTCCTTGACTCCATGATGGTATTCTTGTGTATGTCAGGAATTTCAGACTTATGTACAAGAAACCGATATGCACTACTATTATGTGCATAACTAATGAATACAATCCACGAATTTCGGGCCTATCCTAACCCGTTTGGGTGTAGGAATTGCCACTTTTGCAAGACACCCTCACATTCGTAAGAATTTATACGAAGGCTTAACACCTTTTCATAACTCATATGGCGTCTTGTCCACCTTCTTCCGGGGTACTTTATTCATAATGTAATTTGCAGAGAGAATTGCTTCCCCCCACATGTTCTGTGGCAATCCAAAACTTATCAACATTGCATTCATCATTTCCTTTAGCGTCCTATTCTTCCGCTCAGCAACCCCATTTGATTGAGGAGAATAAGGCACCGTGGTTTGGTGGATAATCCCAGATTTAGCACAAATCTCAATAAATGGTGATTCATACTCACCACCACGATCACTTCTTAAAGCCTTAATCCTGCGGCCTAATCAATTCTCAACTTCATTCTTATAAAAAATAAACTTGTCAATAGCCTCATCTTTGCGTTTGAGCAAATAGACATAACAATACTTAGTGCAATCATCAACCAAAGTGATGAAGTATTTATTGCCACCACGTGATTGTATAAATTTTAAGTCACACACATCACTATACACTAAGTCCAATGGCTCTGAACTTCTTTCAATAGAATGAAACGAAGATCTTGTCAACTTCGCTTCAACACAAGTCTCACACTTGTGTTTTGGATTAATCTTAAAAGATGGTATGTGATCTAACTTGATTAATCTACGTAAAGATTCAAAGTTCACATGTCCTAGTCTACCATGCCACAAATTGGAAGACTCAAGCATGTAAGCAGAAGAAGATGTATCTTTATTCATCTTTGGGATAATAGTTATTACATTAAGTTTTAACATATCCCCCAACATATAACCCTTACCCACATACACTCCGCTCTTGGTCAAAACGACCTTGTCAGACTCAAAAACAATGTGAAAATCATGTTTGCTAAGAAGAGACCCTGAGACAAGAATCTTACGAATGTCCGGAACATACAAGACTTCATTCAAGGCCAGCTCCTCTCTTGATGTCAACTTCAGGACCACATTTCTGTTCCCCTCAACAATGGAGGTAGCAGAGTTTCCTATAAACAACTTCTCACCGTTTGTAACCGGCTCGAAAGTTGTAAATAGCTTCTTCTCGGAGCAGATGTGGCGTGTAGCCCCAGTATCAATCCACCATTCTCTTGGGTTTGAACCCACCAGATTCACCTCAGAGACAACGGCAGACAAGTGCATATCATCCTCCTCATGGGAGTGCTCTTATAAATCTGCCATATGAGCACGAGGTTTAGTCTTATATGACTTCTTCTACTTGTGGCAATCACTAGCCCGATGCCCATTGCTACCACAGTTATAGCACTTCCCAAAGAACCGATTACTTGG